GACCCCTCTAACTACGACGATGCACCTATCGAAGGCATCAGGCGTATCCTTGAAAAGGCCACCGGAAAGAGTTTTCCTCGTAATGAGCCAATCGACACTTCTTTATTCGACGATCTTAGCATTCGCATGGGTACTACGGTAGCAACGAATGCGCTGCTAGAACGCAAGGGCGAGAAGGTTGGTCTTCTTATCACAGAAGGGTTTGAGGACAGCTTAAAAATTGGCCTCCAATCACGGCCCAAGCTATTCGATTTGAACATTGTTCGCCCGGACGTGCTGTATGAGAAAGTCGTTGAAGTAGCTGAAAGAGTCACAGTCGAAGGCTATCAACAGAATCCATTCTACGAGGAAGAAGTCACGGCGATCAGTAAGGCGGCTGAGAGCGATCCGAATTTGGTTCAGGGCCTCAACGGTCAATATATCCGAATCCTCAAGCCTCTGGACAAAGATCGCGTCAGGAGAGATCTGCAAGGTCTTTACGATGAGGGCATACGCAGCATATGCGTTTGTCTCGCTCATTCATACACCTTTCAAGGTATCAAACTAAACTAAACACTCTTGATTTATAAGTGGTTAACATTTATGCCAGATCACGAACGGGCTGTCCGAGACATAGCATCTGAGATTGGCTTCTCTCAGGTGACACTGTCCTGCCTCACGTTGCCCATGATCAAAATGATTTCGAGAGGTATGTCAGCGACTGCGGATGCTTATCTCACACCTATCATACAGCAGTATATTTCAGGATTCCAGTCCGGCTTCACAGACAAATTACAATCGTCTAATACGCGTTGCGCTTTCATGCAAAGCGATGGTGGTCTAGTAGATATAAGAAAGTGAGTTTATAAGTCGTTTAAATCTTTTACTGTAGACTTGGCACTCACGCCGTAAAGATTCAGCGGGCTTCGCGCTGTTCTCTCGGGCCCGGCAGGAGGTGTCGTTGGCCACGCCGGCACTAGTTACGACCCGGAGGACAAAATTCCTATTATCGGATTCGACATGGGTGGCACAAGCACTGATGTGTCCCGATTTGATGGTATATTCGAGCACACCTTCGAAAACATCACCGCAGGGATAAGTATAATGGCGCCACAATTGGATATTAATACCGTTGCGGCTGGCGGAGGAAGTATTCTACATTGGAGACACGGTCTCTTCGCCGTAGGACCTGATTCGGCTGCCGCACACCCCGGCCCGGCCTGTTATCGCAAGGGCGGCCCCTTAGCTATCAGCGACGCAAACGCATTGACCGGTCGTCTCTTACCTGATTATTTCCCCAAGATCTTTGGGAAGAGCGAGAACGAACCCTTAGATGTCGAGATTACCCGAAAGAAATTTGCCGAGCTGGCTGCGCAAATCAATTCGGAGACGGGTCAGAGTAAGACCCCCGAAGAGGTTGCTATGGGGTTTATTGAAGTCGCCAACGAGACAATGGCGAAGCCGATACGCGCATTAACCGAAGCCCGCGGATACGATACGTCGACTCACCACCTTGCTTGCTTTGGCGGTGCCGGAGGCCAACATGCCTGCGCTATCGCAACGTCGCTATCGATCACCAGGGTCATTATCCATCGCTATTCCTCTATCCTCTCTGCATATGGCATGGCACTCGCCGAACTCGTTCATGAAGCTCAAAAGCCTAGTTCAGGCGTCTTTACTACAGCCGAGTCTGTTTCGCAAACTGTTAATGAACTGAAAGAGGAAGTAACTAAGGAACTCGAACTTGATGGAATTTCGAGAGATCGTATAAAACATGAAGTTTACCTGAACCTAAAGTATCAGGGAACTGACAACAGCCTCATGATTCTTGAGCCGGATGATGGCGACTACATCGCGGAATTTACCCGCCAACACCAACGCGAGTACTCATTTACCTTCCCGGATAAGAATATCCTTCTCGAAGACATCCGTGTCCGTGGTATCGGACAGTCTATGGATAGCGTGAACGAGTCGCCGAATCGTGAGCTTGCTTCCGTGGCGAAATTCGACGTTACTAAATCTGACGAGGATGGCAAGTCTGCCGTCTACTTTTCTGGATTCGGTTGGACGGACACACCTATATACCTACTTGAGAAACTGAAAGCTGGATGCGTCATACAAGGACCTGCTACTATCATCGACGACACCCAGACTATAATTGTGGAACCCCTCGTCAAGGCAACAGTTCTCAGTCGCCATGTCATACTCGATCTACCTTCTAAGAGGACTCAGACGTTGAGTGCCACGGTGATCGACCCCATACGGTTATCGATATTTGGACACAGATTCATGTCCATCGCAGAACAAATGGGAAGGACTTTCCAAAAGACATCGGTGTCCACTAACATCAAAGAACGATTGGACTTTTCATGTGCGCTCTTCTCCCCTGACGGTCGTCTCGTTGCGAATGCGCCCCATGTTCCGGTTCATCTTGGGTCGATGGAGTATGCTGTTAGGTTCCAGAACGAGAGGTATCGAGATACGCTCAAGCCAGGCGATATTCTCTGTAGTAATCACCCCGTGGCTGGGGGTGTACATCTTCCGGACATCACAATTATGACACCGATATGGGATGCAGAAGGGAAAGACATCATCTTCTGGGTTGCTTCTCGAGGTCACCACCCCGACGTGGGCGGTATTAGTCCAGGCTCTATGCCATCTAACAGTAAGTTCCTATTTGAAGAAGGCGCTGCCACTATAAGCTACAAGATCGTCAGCGGTGGTATTTTCAATGAGAAAGAGACGCGTCGGTTCTTATATGACGAGCCCTCGCAATATACAGGGTGCAGCGGATCTCGTAACTATAAGGACAACCTTTCCGATATGCGTGCCGCGATTGCGGCTAACAGAAAGGGTGCTAATCTGATCGACGCGCTTGTGAAAGAGTTTACTTTACCCGTTGTGCACAGGTACATGAACGCGATAGCTGAAAATGCAGAGGTTGCGGTTAGGAACTACCTCCGCTCGGTAGCCAAACGACTGAACGGCGAACCGATCTCGTTCGAGGACTATATGGACGACGGTTCGGCTATAGTATTACAGATCCAAATTGACGGCGAAACGGGAAATGCGGTATTCGATTTCACCGGCACGTCGGAAGAAACCCTCAACTGCCTCAACGCGCCAAAAGCAATTACTCATTCTGCGGTTATATACTCGCTTAGATGTCTCATCAACCAGGATATACCATTAAATCAAGGCTGCATAGCACCCATCGACATCATCCTTCCTGAAGGCACGATTCTCAACCCATCTCCGTGGGCAGCGGTCTGTGCGGGTAATAGCATCACCTCCCAGCGGGTTACCGACGTGATACTAGGTGCTTTCCATGCGGTGGCTGCGTCGCAAGGATGTGTAAACGTATTTGGGTTTGGCATAGGGGGCACGGACGATTCGGGTAATGAGGTACCCGGGTTTGGCTATATCGAGACTATTGCCGGTGGCTCGGGAGCCGGACCGACGTGGCACGGAGCTTCTGGGGTGCACACGAATATGTCTAATACGCGATGCGCGGATCCGGAAGTATACGAATTGCGCTACCCCGTGATTCTCCGGAGGTGGACGCTCAGAGAGGGTTCCGGAGGAGCTGGTAAATATCGTGGAGGTGACGGCTGCATTCGCGACGTCGAATTCCGGATCCCGCTCCACGTCTCCGTCCTCAGCGAGCGACGTGTAATGCGCCCGTACGGTTTGGAAGGTGGTGAGCCGGGCGCTGTGGGTAAGAACCTCTACATCAAGAAGGAAGAGGGCGGTAAAGAACGGACCATCAACATCGGAGGCAAGATGGAGTTGGACGTGGTTCCCGGAGAGCGCGTTATTATCAACACGTAAGTTTACTCCCATCCTGCCTCCCTCTACATCCGTCTTCAAAGAAAGCTGATCGTTCTCATTCTATCTAGTCCCGGTGGAGGGGGGTGGGGTACACCGGAACCCAACGGGTCAGCATTGAGAAAAGGGGGTTCGACTAATGGTGCTACGACGAACCAGTTTGAACCACGAGGAAGTGTCCATAATTGGAATCTGACTGCAGAGGGCATTTGAATCTGTTTACGGTGGGTTGCTTTGGCGAGATGCTACGTCCCTACCGGATCGGTAGGAATTACTCGTTTACTTTGAGCCCTGAGTTAGGGATCTGATGATATTGATCGTTCGTGGTCTTTCATGCCATGCCGGCAATCAAGTCTACCTACATATTCTATGTTCCCTTAGCGTGTTGGGCTTTGTCTATGACGTTGGGTTGCGTTGCTATATCATATTGAAGCATATATCGGAATAGTACCTACTCTTGCCACTATCGTCGTTTTCCCCCCCTTAACCTAAAAACACCTGACCCCCTGGGGCACCATGCAAATATTCAGGAGAAGTCCCCTGAATAAACCCCCCACGCACATCTTTTCTGCGGCTTATTTCCTCCCGAGATCCGTCGCTGCAGATCGATCTCTACCTAATCATGCCATGTTAGTCATAATTACGAGGTTATTTCCACCCGACCTACATACATACACATACTATAATTATTCATCGTGGTAGATTTTGACCATCATTTATGACAGGTAGGACGAGTCAGCAGACCCTTCTATACTACTTGTTCGATGTTGCAAGTTCGTCACGCCACGCAGACACCGCTATTGTTTGACGCCGAGACTTATGGAGTTATGCGGCATATGCTTAACCGCATGTTATGAATATACGTGAGTCCAGTCCCTTGTCAGCGTCGGTTCCAGATACCTGCTAACACGTACTTCCCGTAGAGCAAATCTTGTTCTGAGCATGGAACTTCCAGGACAATTAGGACGTTTGGGCTGTTTACGGAGGCATGATGCATGTGCTCCGTACAGATATGACAGGGCTACCCGACCAATCAGTAAGTCACGAGGCGAGGTAAAGACTATCAGGTCGCCAACGATGCGTCCCAAGCCAACCCCTATACCGAAATTGGTGAATTATATCGAGCAACTATAGGATTCGTCAATGCTATAATCCACTTTACCAGATGGAATAGAATGAATGGGTCGTTAACAATGAGCTCAACGCTCTCGTATTTATACTCGCCGCTATTCCTTCGCCGGCGCTTCTCTGTTTCGCCGCTGATATCAGCAGGGACTTTCCGCATTTACGCATACCGCACGCCGATCACCGGATGTCGGTGAGTCAGTCTAAAGCGAATATTTCTATATAAGCACCTTCTCGCAAGAGATAAGCTTAGAGCGTGCGGTGGATACTTATATCCACTTAGGGCTTCAGGGGGGGAGAACGATCTGGGTACCTATCTCTCTTCGGCAACTCAATACATACCTACCTACATTAGCATTGCCAAGTCTTGTTGAACAACCAACCGTATATTACCTACTTCCACGGCTCCTCAGCTTAATTCCGTACGCCAGAGAAGAAGGACCATCTATCCATCCATCCATCCAGATATCTACCATGCCAGACGAAGACGCGGACTACAAACGGCAAGTGGAAGAAGCCAACCAGACGCTCGTCGACGGTCTCGAGGCGCAGGTCAAGGTCGCGGAGAAAGGAGACGACGTGGAGGAGAACTCGTGGGAGCCGTTCTTGAACCAATTGAAGGGACTAGTCGCGGATGGAGAACTTCTCGACGGGACCCGCTCGGAAGTCGAGGGATTTCGGGATAGTCTGCTGGGACGCACCAATGTTTTGCTTCAGTCTAGGGGTAGGGAGCTTGGGGACGCTTTAAATACGCCTGTTAGGGACGATTAAGGTTGGGGGGGTGAGGGAGGGGATTAGAGTTACGGGACGTCGAAATCGGTTGGTTATGATCCAGATCAGGGGGAATCGACTGGTAAGGGAAATGGCTTATTAATGATATTATGATATATTCCTTTGTCTTGAGCGGGCGGTTCTACCTGTTGTTTTAACTGGGATGGGTAGTATTTCCATTCTGGCGAGCTGGTATGTTGAACTACTCATTCACTTATTATTGAGGTGTTTTTCGGTATTGGCAGCCAGTATTAACATTGACGTTCAATGTTTACGAACTATTCAGAAAAACCCATAGCGTTCATAGCTCTATGCATCCAAAACCCACACGGGCAGTAGGTAGGTAAGTAGGCAGATAACGTTGATTTACGATGGCTTATGCTACAAGAAAGACATATGACCGTTACGAAAACCGTAAACATTATAGGGAAGCAAGGGGCTTGGATCCTTATATTATCCCGTCCTCTTATTGATAGACTACTGAAAGATGATCATAAGCCCATGGGTATCATTAGGTGGTTCTAACTCGCACTTCTACTTTTCCGGGATTCCTAACTCGGCTCTTTTACTTCGGACCTCCTCCACAGCGCCCGCCGGGTCGGTGGCTTCTGGATGACGCAGCTGCCAGGCAACACAGACCTCCAGGGCTTGAGCCAACCATTTGCCTGGTTTGAGACCCAACGCTTTGGTGAGTTGAGTACCGTCGATTAACCGTTTTAGCGACGGAGCTTCCATGACGTCTAGTTCTTGTAGATGATCCAGGAACGCTTGCCATTTGCTCAGGAACTCATTCATACCAGCTGTTTAGTTGTTAGCACGGGGTTTCAATGAGCTATTAATAAATAACATCTTACCTGGGTCTTTTGACTTTGTGCCTAAGCCATTCATAACCTCAACTAGGAAAGCATATAAAACCTGTAACCTCCAGTGGCCAGCTTTTGAATCCCAATGTCTGATTGCCATTCCGAACCTATCTCTTTCTGCGATAAAGGGCGCCTTATCCGAAACAGCTGTCACAAGAGACATTATTTCTGTTCTGTTATTATGGGCGGCAGTTGCAAGATCGCAAAGCTTGTTGGGTGCCTTGATGCCTTCTCGGGCCGCTAGAGTTCCTAAAGGTGGTGGCGCTTTGCCCTTGCCAGAATGCTTGGGGGGTTCGACATTCTCCCAGGGGCAGATGGCTGCTAGGACCCAGGCGTAGTAGGCGGCTTCATCTGATCGTACGAGAACGTCGTAGATGGACCCGGGGGTCTTGTTCCGGCGGAGCGAGTCAAGACATTCATATACTGACTTCCAATTGGAGATATCTGGAGTTGGAATATCCGTCTTGGATGGGTCTGTGAAAATGGTGTGGTAAAGCCCAAGATCGTCGATGTACTCTAAAGACTTGCGAGGATGGTTACCTATAGTACCTCATTAATAACTCGATTCCATGGTGATACTATAGATGAACTTGCCCGTAAGCATTTTCTGAAGCTCAATACCAATTCTCTCACGACTGATCTTTAAACGTAAGGCGTCAAGGACTCGAGGGTCGCCCATTACCTTCTCGGCAGCCGGGTCGATAGTAAACTCTAGGCGGCTGGCGAATCTAACTAGTCTGAGAACGCGGAGAGGATCATCCATGAAGGTCTGGAATGGCTCTAGCGGTGTTCTTATCAACCGCGACTTCATGTCTGTCAGCCCGGTCGTGAAGTCTTCTACCTTGCTAGTGTTAAGATTGTAGAAAAGAGCGTTAACGGTGGCGTCTCTTCGTAGTGCATCTTCTTCAGCGGTGCCGAATTCCATCTGAGGATTTCGGCTGTCCTCAGTGTAAGTCTCTTTGCGGAGATTCACGAAATCAACGTCATATCCGAAGAGCTTGATTGTCGTGGTCTCGAGATGTTTAGATTTTTCGGGATTCCGCGCAATCTTATAAAGATTGCCAATATCCGATTCCTCGATGCCATGCTTCTCGACGATATCAGGCTGCTGGCATAGCTCACATAGCTTCATTGCGAAAGCTTCTCCAGTCATAACATTGATAGCTGTATCAATATCGTGAGATTCAATTCCTAAAAGTTTATCGCGAACCCAGCCGCCAGCCCATCGTAAAATAACCTGATCTTGGATAGTTCCCGACTTGTCTATGAATTTAGCAGCATCTAAAAGCAAGTCTTTGAGCTGAGCCTCCTTGGGGCTCAGTTCAATAGTGGTAGTCGCAGGTTGTGTTGCCATCTTTCTAATCTGAGAAAGTGGTTGAATCCCGGAGCTGTCACCTAGCACTTCCGATTTTCTCTTTACCATGAGGGACTGTAATATTATTAAATGAGGGCGCGGCTTATATCTCCCATAGAAATTCGAGATGGAGTGAGATGATAGGCGAAAAAGAAGACGCATTAACCGCCGGATGAGTCAACGTGTAATTGTAACTCGAGGCGAATACTGAACACCGGGAGGGACTAGCTATTAGAGACGGCTTTGAAATTGTTAATTATTTAATTCTTGCAAGATTGTTCACCACTTCTATTCACCACATCTTGTAGATTTGTTTGCATGGAATTCATCGTTATCGTTTTTAAGCTTCATCCCACTAAAATTCGATGGTGGGGCAGACGACAAGTGGGGACTGACTTTTGGGTACCTGTTTAACTTGACAGCCCTGACAAGTGATAGCTGTAGCTGCCCAGCTGTCAGCTGCTATGTACCTAGGTACCTAGCTTTGCCAAAATCCACCTTGAATCCGATTGGCTCGTCAGTTCAGCGCACCGACTACTTTTCTCAAACATGCACCCTTTTTACCCCTTTCCCTCCTTTTCCCCCTTTTACCCCTCTATTCTCAACTCTCAACTCAACTATCACACCCTCATCACCTTCAATTTTACTCCAGTAGTCGTACAAGGGGACGAATTGAAAATGTCTTGGATTACTTCTAACTAATCTACTTGTTAAAAGTCGGGCACTTATCTCAAGAAAAGAGCCCAGAAATACACTGAGCAAAACTACCAAGATGTCACTTGATCACTCATCATGGTAAAGCCAACACAATTACCCTTTTTGCTTCACAAGTGGGAGTATGAAGATATCTTCTCAACTACTTTAATAGATTCCTTTGATATCATTTCAATTATTTATCTATTACACATGTATCGGGAATCGGGAATCGTGTCAACGTTCCGCTCTAAATAGGCAATCATGCCGAATCACACCCTATCAATACAATAATTCCCCGACTTGGTTTTGAAACAATATCCTGCTACGGGCCAATCCGCAGCGGTAAACTTGAGCCCGCTATATCGGAAGCTTAATAAGAATTCTTAGTTGCGATTGGTTCTCCATCAAAGTGTCAAATATGTACTCTGTCCGGCTATCATATTCCCGTGCAAACTGGGGTTCACAGCCACACAAAAAAGACGAATATGTGCCCATTCATACTAACGTCGCTATACCAAGTTTTCGTGATAGGATCTTATCCCGCGAGTCTCGGGCTTCAAAGTAGTCGGAATTGGAAGAAACAATACTACGATTCTCGTGCCAAGCTTCTCGGAGTAGCACGGGATGCAGCCCCTACCGGAGACATGTTTGATTCAACAAGATAGCGCTCAATCCCTAGGACTAAGAGAGGCAAAGATGCGAGAGAAGATGTAAAAGACTCAAAGTCTTCATCGACTGAAATGTCTATAAGAAGACTGATCTGCGCTGAAGGATAATGACTTTTCATCATCACACATCAGTTCACCATCAACTTCTCATACTTCTTCCCTTCTCCTTTGCCCATTTCTTCCTGCCGGTCAGGTATCTTAATTATACACTTAATTATATATATCCCTCTTTAAATAATTGACGATGCCTTCATTCAAAGCTTTCGCTACTCTCTGCATCATGGCCGCTGCCCAGCTAGCTGCGGGCCACGCAGTCATTACCGAAGCTACCGGCGACGCTGGTGGGACCGGAAGTGAGTAACCCATTATCGGATTTGAAGACAAAAGCAGCAATAGACTAACGTAAGCAACAGTGGCTCTTGGTGTTGATACTTCAACTCCCCGAGACGGAACCCGACGAAGACCATTCCAGCAGGACGCCACTCGCTTCCGCGGCGACCAAGCTGACACCGTCGGCGAAACAATCGGCGCCGGCAATAACAACATCGAGCAGGGAACCCAGGCCATCATGGATGAGACTGGTGATCAGCTTCCTCAAGTCACTGCCGGTGGCCAGCTCAAGATGACCCTCCATCAAGTTAATGCCGACGGCGCCGGTCCTTTCACATGCATGATCAACGACGACGGCACGGGAGAAGACTGGGAAGACATCAAAGTCACGCAATCCCCCCCGGGCGACGATTCGCGGGATAGTGATGGCAACACGACGGATTTCCCTCTTGTTGCGGAGATTCCTCAGGATCAGACGTGCACCGGGACTGTTGCCGGCCAGGACAATGCCTGTCTAGTCAGATGCCAAAACGGCGCCAGAGCCGGGCCCTTCGGCGGGGTCATTCCGGTCCAGAGTAAGATGCTTCGGAACACTTGCCCATTAATAACCAGCTAGCTGACATTGTTTGCAGTGTCTAACTCGAATTCAACTAATACTACACGCCGGAGCGTCTCTCGCGTCATGAAGAGGAGCGTGACCTTCACTGCTTAGCTGATCATCTAGAGTAGAATTTGGGGTATCGAAAAGCTATGCGACGCTAAGACGGGGCTGGGTCCTGCATGCCTATTATTTCGGGTTGGTCTGGGCTTAAGATAGATAATAGTGAAGATAATAATCTAATAGACTGATTGTGGTTGAAAGGGTATCTTCGATTTCGTGACAGGGAGAGGAAGTGGGTTCTTACATACATCCCGATTGGATGGCGGTTACGAAACTCTTGAATCCTTTGGAGATGATCTGAATTGGTGTAGTATTGGATGGCAGGATGGTACAGGGGCTTGATGCCCGATGACGTGCAGCTAGAAGTTTACATCGTATATTTTAATTCATTCCCATGTCACAGTCGTTTGTTGTACCATATATTCTACAGAAGTTATCTAGATCTACCATATCAATCTAGGATCCCTATCTGTCTATTAATTCATTGTCATTTTTTTATTGGTTGGGCACTTGGTAATACTCATGCTTTATTACACCATGGAGCCACAATAAATCCATCAATAGAGGTTGAAGAAGTTGTTGTATGTCTCAGTTAAGTCTCAATACAGGGCTGCAGGATTCACCATGCGGGCACTGGGGCATTCGACCATCAGAGCACAGCCTCGACGAAAACAAAGTCGAGAGAGGTCTAGACCTCGATAAAGCGAGATCCATGGGATTTATGTATTTACATAGCTACATACCAGCTATGGTAGTTACACCAACAATGCTTGCTGCCGGTCTGCTGGTGACTAGCCGTAAGCATAGGTATATCGTTGATACTATCTCTCCACCAAACATATTAATAACTCTATTTAATAGGAATAATCGGTCTTGTCGTTGGTGATAAGAGGCTAGTATCTCCATTACATAGAAACTAATCAATAAGGATCTCGGCTGTTTGTCTACCAATCTACAAGATAGGAGGTATCTACATAGCCGTATATCCATCCTAGTATCTCCTTGAATAACGCTGATTGGTGCCCACGATTTGACTAGAAACGGCGGGGCAAATACTGTACACTACTACCGTCACATCCGTTGCCATCGCTTAGTTCTGGTGTCTTAACTGACGTCATGGACTAGACGTCTAAAGGTAAACGTACATACACTATCTACTTCGACCTTCATTGATACCAGATAGGAATAAGGAAAGGGACATTTTATAGTTTCCGTTTTGCGTCACACTACCTACAAGTGATGGGTCTCGACTTACACAGCCACTGATATGATAGAGAGTCTGGGGACAAGTAATCGGGTGCTTCTTTTGTCAATCACATATCTAGCCCTATTTCACATTATGACAGAATCTGCAGGCTACCGTGGATACGAGCTACGAGCGAGTTGCTGACTTATACGAGTGAAAAGCTACTGTGAATCTGTGATTATGTTAGGTATATGATCCAAGCAACGGGGAATAGGGGTCCTACTATACATATCTAAAATACCATCGAGTATCAGGAATGCGGGGACTGAAAGGATATTGTGGTTATGACGATAAGGAAGGTATCTCTCGATTGGACAATACACACCCCAAAGAACTCCTGTGACTCGTGACGGCAAGAGATGAATGGCTATTGGATGGCTGTAAGAGTTTACATACAGTAGGCACCAGAAAGGCTGGCTAGTCCCATCGGATCGTCGCTCTCACTTTCTAGACCTAGTTCAGTTGCTCTCGTCTGAGTCGCGATGTTCCCCGTAACTAGGATCACTAAGGATAGCTGCAGCGTGACCAATAAGAGATCCAGAGTCTCACGGCATAACGTACGGGAGGCAAACCAACTACCACTTCCGGGAGATACCCTTTGTTGCTCTTAGAAAGCTGCCCATGCTCCGGCATAGATAGGAGATAGAGGAGGATGATGCTACGCCACATATCTTGCATAATCGTTTCAATAGATTCCGGGAAACCGGGAAAGATCAGATGAGCTACGTACGTACATAGGTGGAATCAAGGCAGGCGAAAAGGGCCAAACTCTACATGGTTCGATAGCATCAGTCCGGTCCTTCTAGTTGTATAAGAACCCCTTGGACCCCGGATATAAAGTATAAAGTATTTCAGGGTCTCAACAGATCTGAAGATACAATCTCAATCTTTCAACTAACTATCTTATACTCGAAACATATATCAACCTACCAATACCTACACACTCCTTATCCAAGGTATTTCTACTTCTTTATTCTAAACTACAAGATACTGCCTCGATATCTCAATTAAATTCTTCTAAATCTAGACGTTCTTATAAGCTAATTTACACTACCCTAGGCCAACAATACGCCCGTCCTACCCAAGAGAAACACAATCCATCATGACAGGAGAAAATATAACAGACTCACCCCCCAAGTTCACCAACACTTTCGCCAACGAACAGCCCGCCAGTCCGGAACGGGAACGAACGGGATCGCGAGACTACTCTCATACTGACGAATGGGGTACGTACCCTCTTACTGCCTCTTCCCATCCGTTCTAGTCACACATATGATAGTTATTATATTATACATACATAACTATCCCATACATAAACACTAAACACTAACACCAACCCCCCACCCTCCTCTAGACGCAGCCAAAACACCCCCCTCGCGCTTCCAAAAGCGCAAAGGCAGCATCTACGCCACGCCCTCGTCCCGCGACGGCCACGTAGACCGTAACCGTGAGGCGGTCGAGGGCTTCCACAAGGCGCACTCGCAGCGCTGGTCCATAAGCAGTTCCGGATCGAGCCGTCGCGGCAGCCTGCCCGGAAATCTGCCCGGGAACATGTCCGGAAACCTGTCCGGAAACAACAACAGCAACGACAACACTACCACTACCACGACTGCCGCGTCTCCGAGCGAACAGCGTCGCAAAGCCAGCCAGTAGGTGTGGTCGACGGCGTGGGCGCCGGTTATGACGTAGAGCCGAGACCGTCGCGACGACGACGGCGGGAATGATTCCGTACCTTGCAAAGACGAAGATGAAAAAGATGATAACTATAAATGTACACGTATACGAGGGACGAAAGCACGGGGCATGGCGGCATGGTTCGCCGGCCTGTGCGAGGGCGGCGAGAGTCTTGGAGACGATCACGATGGCGGAAAGGGGTTGGCGGGCCCCGGGATGATGTTTTTGAGAGGCGTGGTTGATTCGCTGGCTTGTATTACATATATAGGGTATACCTAACCGTCTCCGTTCTTGGTTTACTACTACTTACCTACCTTATACTTACCCTTGGTACTCTCTACCTTACTTTACCTTACGATTAACTAGGTCATGATATGAGCACGAATACATGAAATTCCTTCAAATATCTTACTAGTCGATTCATCCAGCAGTGTGCGTGCTTGAAAGACTAAATTGTTGAACAATAAAATATATAAACGCCTATGATCTGGGTATATTATATATGCGTACTTAAACTATACCTACTAAAAAAACATAATGTATAATTCCCTTAGCAAAGAGGAAATTCACGTAGCAAGGACCTAACACCTAATTCTGCACTGAAGAGTATACAAACACGTGAATAGGTAATTATCTCTTATTACAACCATCTACAAATCACCTCTAATAAACCCTCGCCTCTACATAGCCCAGCCCAGCCCCTTAATAAGCCCCTACCCCAAATTAAAACAAGCTTTACCTAAACAAAAACATACGAGTCATACCAGCAGCTCGGGGGAGCAGCCCGTCAACCCAAGTACCTAGCAATGACGTCCTCGCCTCATGATAAGCTGAGCCGTCGATCTAAAGGCAGCAAGTAAGTTTCAGCCGCCCTCAAAAAAGAGGGGATGATAACGTCATCTAGCTGCGGGCGTGACATATGTATCAAGAGCTCATCTACATACCAGACCCCCAACGCTACATCGTCTTCAATTTAGGGGCAACCAAGTAGTAGCCAATAGCACCGCCCCCTCCTCGAGCCGAACCAACAAATCCTTGGTACCTACGCATCATGATCACCATCATGTCAGCCTAAGAGACAACTCACGTATGTAGTAAGTATACTCAAACCGATGGGTGTTTAGTGAATTCATAAAGTACCTAGGAGGTAGCTAGATAGGATGTAGGTACGTAGGTAGGTATCTGCCTTGCTCTGACTCTTGCACCGTGGGAAAAAAAGGAAGAGACCAAAAAAGCCCGTAGAAAAAAAAGGCGCGTTACAAACGGAATACAACGCAATTTTTGCATTGCTAGCCGCCCTATCCATTCACCTATGCCAAATGTTAAATGCCAAGCAACTAAAAAAACGGGAACCATCTCAGAGGCCAGTTCGTGTCAGTCGTCATCCATGCCGTCGATATCGATAGCATCTGGGTTGCTAGGCGCTGCGACCGCTTCTTTGGTTACTGTCCCTGCGAGTCCCGTGCTCGACGCCACGAATCCTGCCGGCGCTCGGGCCTGCCGCTCTAGCTGTTCCATCGCATCAGCAACTTCGGGGTCTCCGTTCGCTGTTTCCGATCCTGCTCGTGTTTGATTTGCACGTGCGATAGCTTGTGACGCGATGAAGTTCACATCGGTGTTGTACTGTGCTTGTACGCTGCGCTTGATACGTAGCATCTCTTTGTACGTGTCCTCGTTGCCGTGCTGCACCTCGAACTGTTCCCACTTAGTCCAGAACGCCGGGTTGGTTCGCGGGTCGCAGAACTGGGATGCGTGTCCGTAAATGGCGCGGGCTCGGTCGATTTCGCCGAGGCGCTTCTCCATATCGGCGAACTTTAGACACATATCTCGCGCTTCTTCGTCTGGCAAAGCTGCGATGGCCCTTTCGTAGATTGGTCTAGTGGACGGTAACCCGAAATTAGATGCCGACTTGGTGATATAGAAGTTAAACATATCTGCTCGGTCTTCGTCTGAAACTGCACGGGTAGCTCTCTCGTAGATACGCATAGCGTGCCTCGCTAAACCCCTTTCCTCCTCGAGATTGCCGTACATAAGATATAATACTTTAGCAAATTTAGGCGGGCAATCTTCTACCGCCTGCTCAAAGAGATCTCGAAGTCGTTCAATTCCAATCTTCCTATCCACCGCCTTGGTCAAGTAGAGATTCCATAGTTCGAAAGCTACCGGATAACTAAAGAGGTCGAGCCCTCTTTCGTATATCTTGAAGGATTCTTCGTAGTATTTGTGTTCCTCCATGAGAGTAGCATAGTTGACGACGGTTTGAGGTGTAGCGATCCGAAGCTCAAATATCCGTTCGTACACTTTCTTCGTCTCTTCTAGAGAGGAGACACTCTCAACAAGGTCAACGTAAAAACTCCAGAGTTTCCAACTCTTATGGACTCTTTGTTGCGGCGACAGAGTTTCGTCGAAGTAGTCCACAGTTGATCTCTTCGGGGCTTGTACGGCCTTCGCCATGATCTTGACAGCTTCGTCGAAGTTCTCGTTGCGAAGTTCCATTTCGGCCCACTCGATCCACATATCAGCCAATTCTGCAACCGATTTGAATGGGACCTTGACAGCCTTCTCCATAATGATACGCGCATTTCGTATATCACCGCCCTTTTCGTAGAATTTGGCATAATTTGCCCACAATTGATGAAAAGGTCCAACGGCTTTCTTCGGGCTGATCGCGGCAATGGCATCGGTATATGTCTGAACAACTTCGACCTTATTATCCCCCCAAAGCGCTACTCGTTTCTCCCATTCTGACACGCTATTGGGGTTTTGCCGTAGTAATACATCATTTAGAAGGAATGGCCGTCGGTCCATGAGCTGCTCAAACCGCATCATGCGAATATCAAGATCAAAGTCGGCGTCATCATCGAGCTTGCCTTGTTCCGCTCGTTGGGATGCTAACTCCATTAGCGCACCAATAATAGACTCTTCGAATTCTGCATAACTATCGAAGATCATGGTGAAATCCCGAACAGTCATGACGGTTGTGATTCCTTCTTCGTAGATATCTCTCGCGCGTTCGAAGCTCCCTCTCCTGACCCAATACGTAGCCAGGCCGTACCAGAGCTTCCCTCTTTGGTCGTCAAACCTGTCGATTCCACTCCTAATGATACGCTCGACGTCGATACCGGTCTCGTGGCCCGTCTCGACCTCATTGGCATGGTCGATGAGTAGGTCAACCATCTCGCTCCAGAGCTCGTAGTGGCCTTTGCTATGCTTGCTATTGAAGCGCGGATTGTTGAGAATATCGATATATTTCTTCACAGCCTCGGTATAAAGACCAACTTGTACCAAGAGCTCAATAAAGTCTTCAGCATCCTCGGGATGGACTTGCATATACCTTCGCCAGATCTTCACCGCAGTTTCGCCTGAGGCTGAGTTCGCGAACGGCCTATACAGGGCCCATATCCGATTGTGTTGAGTTATAGGAAGGGCACGAAGAGCTCGGTCAAATGTGCGCCGAGTAAAGGTAACAAGAGGCTGCTTCAGTAAGAATTTCAAGTACAATTCCCATATCTTTGGCATCTTGTTGAGTAGGACGAGGGCTCGCTCGAATAAGGCGTTGACCTTTTTATACTCGGAAGCAAAGACGGCAGCATTCAGCTTTGCGACATGTTTCGTTCGGAATTGCAAGTACTATAAATTATTAGCATTATTAGCATTTGGACGTGTTGCGACGTGTAATTTAGGTAATATTCGCTCACCATCTTCCAGAGCTTGTACGATCGCGGCAGCTGCTGACAAGCCCTCTCGAGAACAAAGGCTTGCTCCTGAATTGTGCCATGTTGGACTTTGAACTGAATATAAGCAAGCCAAGGTTTCGTACTTCCCAGGTCCCTTAAAATATCTTGCTCGTAGACGGCGTCTTCATCGGTCTAAGGAGACATGTTAGCCAACAATTTCAAGGCTCCCGTAGCGACGACGCGATAGGTTGCTTACAAGGAGGTGAAGGTCTGGCTGTCGGGCAGTTCGGAGACCATTGGTCGGGCCATTAGGCGGCATCTTGACCTTTTGACCTTTTTAACCCGTCGATTGTCGTTGTGCGCGATCGCTCGCAGATAATCTCTGCTAATCGACGGTGTAAATAAGAGAGTCAGGGCATCGTCGTGGGTCGTGGGAATATTTGAAGGGGGGCGACAAAATTTCGACCTCTGGCGTCGTGAAAGGCGACCGTGACCGCGGCAGCTTTAGGAACTTATTTTAAGGACGAGACAGGATTAGTACCAGTTTTTTTTTTCTGGATTCCAGGACCATGGATACGTACTATGCAACAATGCGAAAAGACAAGGGGGTGTAGGGACCCCAATATTTAATAATCCATAAGTGGATCATCAATGCATTAATAAGAACCTTAACTTAAAGGAGAGTTAGGTAATCCGTAAAGGAGAATAAAATCTTGGCATTTAGTAAAGCAATAAACTAAAAGTTCCAGCCTTCCTGCCCTTCCAAAGCTGAGCTGTCGTGCCTGTTAGTGTATAAATCCGTCATGCTGAGTTTATGTAACTTAGGTAGGTACTTGGGTACTTAACCTCTAATAAAGCGGAACCTCTACAATACATCTTCATCTCAACCATAACCATACCAAGTCTACACCAGTCCAAAGCAACAACCTTTAACTTATTTCCAATTAGCTTTTCTTCCCTTTTTCGACCTCGAATTGCGCCAACCTTAACCTATTATATCCGACGATCAAAGCACAGCTGATATAATACGCCATGTCTGGAGCTGCGGTATGTCAACAACCACCACCTCCGGATTAGCTTGCGAGCTATGTATGCACCAGCCATGTTAACATACATATCTCCCTAGGATCGAGAGGCCGTCTTCCCGACGCGGCAGTCGTTGGGTATTATGAAGGCGAAGCTCAAAGGAGCTGAGACGGGGCACAGTTTACTGAAACGGAAGAGCGAGGCCCTTACCAAGTATATGAAGCTCACCACGACTTTATCCTGACCTACCTATGCTAACTTATACATCTAGACGTTTCCGAGGTATATATACCTTATATACTCCCATAAAGTTAACTTCAACTGTTGCAGGAGTTGACCGAATCTACAGAAATCACAAAACGAATCGACGAAGCGAAGCGCAAGATGGGTCGGGTCATGCAGATTGCGGCCTTCTCCCTAGCGGGGGTTACGTACGCTGTAGGAGGAGACATCGGCTACCAAGTACAAGAATCTGTCCGATCGGCGCGCTTCCGACTGCGCACTAAACAAGACAACGTTTCCGGTGTCCTGTTACCCTCGTTCGAGAGCTACATGACGGAGGGCAACAATGACTTCGGCCTGACGGGTCTCGGCAAAGGTGGTCAGCAGGTGCAAAAGTGTAGAGAGACCTATGCGCGCGCTGTAGAAACGCTGGTCGAACTCGCCAGTCTTCAGACCGCCTTCGTGATTCTAGACGAAGTCATCAAGGTCGTGAACCGAAGAGGTGAGTTGAATACCGAGCGCACATGATGTTTATAACTAAGCTAACCCTGTGACATTATAGTGAATGCCATGTAATCCAACCCGCCTAAAACCGATTTAAGATACGAACTAACGAGCCCGCAGAGAACACGTTATTATCCCGAGGACAGAAAGGACCATCAAGTGTAAGTCTACCCCCGTCAGTATCTAGAGCAGATGAGCTGACATTGGCGCTAGACATCAACTCGGAGCTCGACGAGCTAGACAGAGAGGAGTTTTACAGGTTGAAAAAGGTCGCCGGCAAGAAGCAACGCGATACCGCCGCCTCGGATGCCGAGATGAAGGCCAAGAAAGAAGCCCAGGCCGAGGCCGACGCGGAAGGTGAACAGAAGGCTCAACGAAGTGACTCGGGACCAGCAGATGTACTAACCCACGAGGACGACAATGATATTATCTTTTAGTCTAAGTTATGAAGGGCATGGTTTCAGGAAGAGCGAATGGAGGGCTTGTTTGGACCTGAATTGCATCGTTTGTCGTGTTGTCGTTACATATTTGTATTTCTTATGATACCAACAGGCTAAATGACCTTGGGTTCCTGTCTCGTAGCATACGTATTGTATTTAAGTGAACAAGAATCGTCTAATTCTCGATGTGCAAGGCATGCTAAACCGGCTTACTATCTCGACTTTCCTACGAACTACCAGCATCCATATCGAATGCAAAAGGGTATTAAATATGCGCTTATCATACAAACCTTCCCCATCCACCAACCCCGACTTACTACTGTCTCTGGTACGTGACTTTGATAAGCTTCTCGCCAAGCGCCATACCCGCAGTATTCTCCTTCGCCGTGATCGCACCCGCCTCCGCCTCGTATTCGATAAACGCGATGCCCTTGCGGCCGGGGACCAGACGGACTTCGCGGAAGCCCTCGAAGCGGCCGAAGATGCCCGTGAGCGCCTCGATGTCGTGGTAGTCGTCCGGTAGGTTCTGCACGAACAGGATCTTGTTCGGAGGTAGGTACTCGTCCGGAACGACGGCGTTGGGGCCGGCAGATGGGCCGGTCGGCTTGAGCCCGCGCGCTGCCTTGGCCGGGCGCGCTGCTTCGCCTGGAGGGGGCTGGGCGCCGGGGCGCTTGAGGCGCTTTTGCTCTTCGGCGGCTTCGGCGGCCTTTTTCTTATCTGTTACGGCGGTAATATGATATGTTAGCCTTTATCTCTCTTCCTTTCCCTATGTTTTAATTCTAATTGACGAAAAAAAAAAAAGAATAAAAAAAGGTAACTCACCCTTCTCAGCCAACCTCCTCCGCTGATGAAGCTCAAACTCCTCTTTATTCCCCGTCTTCTTGACCGTAGCATCGCTACGCGTGCGCGCGAGCGCAACCTGCATCGGTTTCTCGAAGAGCTCGAAGCCCTGCACCTCTTCGACAGCCTGGAGAGCCGACTCGGGCCGGTCATAGACGATGAACGCTTGACCCTTAGCTTTAAGGTTCCGCTTCGCGACGATCTCGATGATATTTCCGTACTCCGAGAACACGGTCGTCAGCACCTCCTTGAGGGCCTCGGGCTTGACGCGCTCCTCAAGGTTCCGCACGTACACGCTGTAGTGTGTTTATGTTAGTCAAATCAGAACGGCGCGCGTGCGCAAAACACGACCAAGGGGGAAACTGTATGTGTCGGAGTGCAATGACACATACGTAGAAATGGACTGGCCTGAAGCCATTTTGTGTGATGTATGAATTCTTCTCTGGGTAATGTTAAGTAGAGAAAATTGTCACTTTGATAAAAGCGTTTACGACTTTGTAGTTGTATTTGGGACAAAGCAAATCGATATAGAGAGCTATCTAGGTACCTAATGTATGTACAATTGATGCAGTTATTCTCGTGAAGCTTATCGATAATGCATGCAACATGCATAAACATTTGAGTGGGTCTATTGTTCAACTGCCAGCTGCCAACATCGAAATGTCAGTGGTAGCTTTAACCCCTATTTACAAAGGCAGCCATTATTAAACATAAAGAGGTACGAAATGGATGGAAATCAAAAGAACTGCTCACTTCCTCTTATTTATAGGATACCAACTGTATCTTTTTGCATAAATCATACCAGCTTCTTAAATATGAACACACTAATTCGTTTACCGTATTTAGGGCTCTGATTATATGTAGCTACTTTCCACAGCATGGGTAATTCTACCCTTCTAAGTCGTTCTATTATACAATCCATCATATCGGCGTGCTCTATTCTAGCAATGCACTAGACACGCAACCTATGGTCTTTAGCTTTTGTTCTATCAGCTATGGATATCTCTCGGCTAGTATTTAAGCTGCCGTAACTTCCTCCTGGCTATTACTTTTCTCTTCAGTTGGCTGCTCTTTAACTGGCTCTTCTGTAGTCGATTGCTTTTCTTCCGACAAGGGCTCCGGTTCTTCTAATGCCAGCTCGTTGCGCAGGTCCGGTAGGAAACGGTCTATTCGTTTCCACGTTTCCACCCATAAGTTCTCCTGTGATGGGTCCTTGCTTGGAGGAACAAGGTATCCGCTACTCGACATGAATAACAACACGTTTTTCAGATTTTCAGGGACAGCCTCCTCCTAAGCATTGCATTAGTATAGTTAAAAATGGGACGGAAAATTATTGACAGTTGCTTACCAAACTATCGCCTTGGCCACTATTCATTAATCTATCCATGATATCGATTATTTTCAACCACAGATCAAGCATGCCGTCCCACTTGGAGAGAAGCACGAGGTACTGCAGGAATGTCTTGCAGAGAAGAGACGCGACTTGCACCCTTGTCTCGCTCATGCCATCTCGATCAGAAGAATAGACTTCTGGCTTTAAGAGCCTCAAGATTAGAGGGAACAAGACCTCGCCGAAAATGGCAGTCCATTCTTCGTGGTCGCTACAGGTCAGCTCGGGCGATAGGAGTGATCTCTGAAGCGACGAAAATGCTAGAGACCGTACTTCACGGCACGGATTAGTGCACTGTGTTGTTAGAGCTTTAAAAATGGGTAGCCAGTATGCCGACCATGCTGCAACGCAATTAGTAAACAGCCATAGATATATAGAGACACGCTTACCCTCGCTATTCTCAAGATGTGATTGTTTCATCAAGTGAGGAATACGAGCCGTCATGCTGGAAATGAGGTTAACGGCTTTTACGCCCCGTGAAACCACGGCATTATCACTAGAACTAGTTAGAGGGTTGATAAGAACCAAAGTAGCGAATAAAATACCTTGAGGCCTCCTTCTTCGGTGGTCGAGCATTCCTCTGCCTCCTTTCGCCCTTCTGCTGTACAACTGCGCCGATTTTAGCAGCGGTAGCATACTCATTGAGCAGGCCAATTGCGGCCTCGTAGTTATCCGCAATAATTGCTGATGGCGAACCTGACACTCCACCTTCGAGGATCTCGAAGACGGTAGAAGACGCATTGGGGTTACCAGCAAGGGTACGTAGGATGAGCCAGAAATCGGGTGAAGTCATAATCTCGCTTCGCAGAGGTCCCGGCTGATCGATGCAAAGCTTTAGCCCTTGTAGAACTAACTGTGACGTCTTCACAAGAGTTTCTTTAGGGAAACTAGATATAGCGTGCAGTAGTACAGGTGCTCGTACAAAGTCGTGATCCTATATCGTTAGCACGGGTGCATCCAAGTTATCTTCGGGGTGTTACTTACATAGCTGGCCCTTAATACGCTAAATTGATAGAAAGCTGCTCGCGAAACGAGGATAGGATGGTGTTGAGGGGAGTCTCGTAATATCATCTGCAAAGCTTCCGCAACGGGTTTGCCGAGATGTTCAACTGTTTCATTATCTCTTAATGCAAGCACGGTACAAAATTCCAGGATGTATACTACTGCGGGATCATAAGTAGGCTTCTTGGAAGGAGTTTTAGATCCACTGGTGGGTGAAGAAGGGAGACTCTCTGGTTTCACTGTGATGACAGGTACGGCCGAACTTTCGTCATCAGGTAGTTCATCCAAAAGAGCTTCGAGAAGCGGTGATAACGAATCTGCTGAAAGGGCCCTAGGTTGGGTTAGTAGCGCGCAAAATACGGAGCCTTTGACAACCTACGAGATATTCGCGAAGACACTTTCTAGATCACAGGCTTTGATGCAATCAACTGTGCTTAACGAACTTTCGACCTCTTCAGCAGATGGTTCCGGCGGATCATCAGCTGCATAGCTAGAGATGTACGAAGACAAGACCGACATGAGGCCTGTATCGGCAGTTTTCGCCGCTCGATCAATGACTTGAGAAGGGGTATGAAGTGGAATTTTGGGGAGATTTAACTTCTCAAAATTTTTATTAAAGAACGAGGAGGGAATAAGGGAGTTGACGAATAGTTTCAACCAGATACGTATGATCTAAATTGGTTAGCTTAACTTGAGTCGGGTTTTGCCATAAACTTACGTGTTGCCAACCCTTGCGGATGACTTCTTCGCTCCCCTTTACGACACGGAACAGGACGAGTGTAGCAAGCTGCGCTTTGAAGTCCCTGCCGAGCTTAACGGCGAGTTCGCTAACCATAACGCTATCACTATCATCCGATACCTTTACTTCCGTGTTGAGAGCCGTACTTGATAGACCATCGGTATCTAACGTAGTCATATAGCTAAGATTCTGGATAATACGATCTAATGCTTCTGTGATACCATATCTGGACGCAATCTGCGCACATTGGTCGAACCCCGTAACTACTCGGGAAAATACGGCATCGTCCGTTGCCGACATGAATACGTATGATAATGTCGAAACAATCGGTTTCCATGTTGTGGCAAACATATCGGCATCGTAAATATTGGTATCGCAAAGTACCAACGGGCCGGCGGATTCACTTTTGAGGAGTAGTTCTCGCCATGCATAGTCAAAGGCATGCTGGTTATCGTGTTCATCCGGAAGAATAATCTCGTCGGACTTGATGGCCTCGAAAGTCAGTTCGAGGTATTCGGGAGGGAAATCCTTAGATCCATTAACGCCGCGCAAGTTGCGCGCAAAATCTACGAGCTCCATGCGCTTCGAGCCCTTGAGCTTTGGGCTGTGCTGATCAACATTTAGCATGATGATAGCATACGTGAGAATGAACACAGCATCCTCGCTCGCAACAATATCAGAGCCTGAAGTTGCAAAGTACTTCTTCGCGAAGGCAGTCACTATCCGCTCGATAAGCGGTGACTCGCCAGGGAGTCGGAAACTCTCGAGAAGAAGTCGCACTGCTTCGTCGACACGCTTGCCGGAGAAATCGAAAAGATCCAAAAAGGCGTTAAGATATTCATCATTACCCCTTTTCGATATAAATTCGCCGATGACCGCCTTGGAGACTCGGGACGTAGTTCGGAAAAATCGGGCAGCTGATGCTGGGTCATCGGTAATGATCTTTTGCTCCTTAAGATATCCTAGGCCTTCCTTTGGTTTTTCATTGAACTTAGTCGCGCCCTTAATGATAACCTTCTTCCTTCGTCTTTCTTCTCGGAGAGTCGCTTGATCTGGTAACCCCTCCGTGACTGGCTCTTCGTCAAGACGATCGGCTATGGACTGGACGAAGCCAAGAAGTGCATCGAGACAAAGGGGTGGTACGCTAGTTGTGCTCCATGTCGCAGAGTCGGGCAGAGCACTTCTCGAAAGCAATCCTATCATGTCTTCGCATAGATTCCCACGATTCGCGTCAGAGTCATAGTTAACAAATAGCTCAACTAGGAATGTCGGCATCCGGGTGAGAGCCCCGATGCTTTCAACCATGGCTTGACGAGCATCCGGCTTTCGTGCACCACCTTCCATACCTAACTTTTGCCGGTCCTTAACCGGCACCGGTGTCGACCTGCCACTACCAGCTTGCGACGGAGGTGGTTTTACCCCGCTTGGCCTTTGCGGAATTCCATCATAAAGCGAAGGATCAATATTCTCCTCGCGAGGGATTTCGACCGGTGGGTGTAAACACGCGATAAGGTAAGATAAGAAGAGCTCCTGTTGTAGTTTTAAGACCCCTCGGCAAGTTTCCAGTAGTGTCCCAGCTACGATGAGAGACTCTTGGAGAATAGCCATGTTATCAGATCGGACGAGTTGAAACAGGTGTCGGCATAACCGATCTTCGGCGACGACGGCTAAGGCTGGGTGTCTCGCTATAGATGGCCCAGCAACTTCCAAGGCAACGTGAATAATACGTAGCGCCATGACTCTCATTGTATCACCTTGCTGCTTGTCGTGAGGGTCTAATAAGTCTACGAGAACCCTGAACAACTCCTTCATAGACGGTAATGAGTACGGTTTGATGTCGAGAGAATCGTCAGGCTCTGAGGGTTCTATCGCGGACCTTTCTTCTACATTTTGAGGAGTATTCTCTGATCCGGACGACTCTCGCGGTTCGCCACCAGGGGCATCAGATGACGCGATAACATTGTTTCCATTAGTCGAGGGGACCATTTTTACGCCTTCCATATCCCCGTTTGCCTGGTGATCTAAGGCTTCCAAGTCATCGCCAGCTTCGACTTCTAGATATTTAAGATGCTCGAAAATGATCTGGCACATACGGACCATAGCCGCTTCGGCCGTCCTTCGGAGGAGCTCGGATAATCGCGACTGGCAGCACATAGTTAGGCCAGTCTCCATCATTTCGCAAACACTCTCGTCGCTTAACAACTCGCCGCCCGGACCAGACAGCATATCCTCCATCAGGTGCAAGATCATAAGTAGTACAACCTCGTCCTGAGCAGAGTCGCTCGCTTCAAACCGGCAATGTGTTATTGCAGTCGACAGGGATTGCATAGCAAGTGGGAATCGCGGAGAGCTAGGATTTATAAACCCATAAGAGAGGAATTTCCGGATCGCTTTTAGTGCTAAGATGGTTATAGGGGCAGAGGTCGAGGAAGCCTGTATGACTTGGAGGAAGGGATTGAGTAACGCCGGAGCATCGAACTTGTGGATATCTAAAACATGTGTTAAAAAAATCCCCTACTACATATCGTACATATCGTACAGATCTTTCATATTACCTTTGCAGTTTGATAGCTCATGGCGAAGACGACCAAAGCCAGCCATTAGGGGATTATCCTGCATGCTCTTCCCCTTCTTTCCCCGCAAACCCCACCGGTTCGCGATAGCAAAGTCCTGCGCACCATCGATTCCCTGGCTCGTTGCAGAGCTTTTGCTTCCTGGCCGCAAGAGAGGGCTAGGCGGGCCCAGCTGAACAGGATTAGGGTTGCCACCTAGTATAGAGGATACCGACGAGCCCGCCCATCGAGCATGCTTTCGCATGGCAGAAGAGACCGATATGCATTCTGATATGACCAAGGCAGCTGGGTCGACAGCTACTGTTACCGGTCGACTTCGAAAGTGCGTGTTGGGCACCTGAACATCGGTATTCACAGCCTTGTTCCTCGTTGTTGCGCTTTGGGGTAGCGGGAGACCCAAGCTACTCGACTCGGGCGCAAGCTCTGATTCCATGTTGCTTTTACTCAGTTGCTCATCTCGACTCATTCTCGCCTAAAGAGGCGACACTCGGTTCAGAAGTGGTATGTGGCAGATTAAGGGCGGCTGTAGATATTATCACCGTCGCGCAATAAGGGATTAGAAGTCGGCAAGGCTCGTGTAAATCGACTCGACTCTACTCGCATCGACACTTAGAATACGGAAGTGAAATTCGAAAGATCTGCCTATAAGTCGCTAAACACCAAAGAGTCCAGATTCCTTCTCATTGTCCAATTACATGGAAGCTGTCCGAGTCGTGAGTTGTATGTAAGTAACAGTTTTATCAGTTACTCGATCCTAAACTTATCGCATCCAACAGCAGGGTCCTTAGAAATCTTGCACGTGCTGAGAAGCTGTTGCCAGCTGTAACGTACCTAAGTGTAATCGGTAGGCGTTTATCCGATTGTGACAGCGTGGCGGAAACCCTGAACGCCCAGTCATTAGGTACATGTACTTACCTACCTACCTTCTAACTTACATAGGTACAATACATGCAAGTAATGGATCTATGGATCTATCGTAACTTCCAATGCTTGCAAGATATAAACTTGATGATTTCAATAAGGCAACTCATTACTCCTTAACTGCTTTTATTATAACGTTATTAAAAAACATGGTTCAATAATTTCTATTATAATTACCTAAGGTATTTTCGTGACAGCTTAAATAAGACATCACTCATTACTCAAACAGGACAACGCCAGGGGCAGTTTGAACAAGAATATCTACTAATAAAGTAATACAGCCTCATGGCCAATCTATACAATAAAACAACGCGGTCCCGTTGCCGCGCTTGAAAATATCCCATGCTTCGTAATCATGCATCGGATACCACCAAAACGCCAGTGCCATGATCCTCGACATGGTCCTTGCTATTGTACAAGCGACCAGATGATCACATGTGTGCGTCCCTATCCTTCCGCTTTGCCCCAAATGACTTTTTTTTTTCCCCTTTCCCACACGCCTCATGCATAGTGAGTCCGGAAGTGCGACGTGAAGCCTCACTACAACCCAAGGCCATCAGTCATTATATCCTAGATACCATTCCTTAGGCCTCTACCCTAAATTGGTTATTTGGCTTTTCCTCAACCTTGTCCTCTGCTGCTTTCGAGTCTTGGCTTGACCCCTGTTGGCTCTCGGATTCCCGCTCTTTTTGAGCCTCCTTGGCTAAGTTTTGTATTTGTGTTTTATCTTGCTCCCATTGGGCATTAGTGTCACTAAACTGTTCTTTAACCTTCTTCTCCCGTTCCTGCTTTTCCTTCTCCTCGGCCTCTTTAGCCTGGCGCTCTGCTTCCATTTCCTAATCTTAAATTAGCATGTATTTCAAATATAAGGGTTAACATTCGACCTACCTCCATGTGCCGGATATCGTCTACGCTAGGCTCGTACAAGTGCCATATTGTGTAATGAGGAAGTCCAACCACAGAAAATTGCATGCGTTTAGCCATCTAAATCCACCGTTAGCGTTAATTCATATATCGATGAAATGGGTCCTACCTTGCCGAATCCTTCAGTTTCTGCGTGCTTTTCGAAACTGAAGGCAGGGAAATGGACACCCGACCTAAAAACTCTGGCCTTGGCCAAAATACTAACACCACCCACACCGTCGATTTCCATTTCCATATCAGGGTCACCATAGGGATCGCGGAGGTAAGCAAGATGCGGTCGCCAAGTAGCATATTCGGCATATCCTTCCACAATCACAGCGTCTTCATCGAGGGTGTCGGCGAGAGCCAATGCTGTTTCCGACTCCTGCCACGAATTCAAATCGTAGGGCTGCTCGCCACCAAGCCAATCAGGAAGCGGGCGCCAGACGTCTACATCACTATCAGTAACGAAAGGGGCTGAGAAGCAGATTACATCAAGACTTACTCGGTACGATAACGTCCTTATTATGACGCATCAAGTCCTCTAGGATGGTAAACGGCGCTGTCTCCACGTCGACATCTCTCCAATAAACCCATGAATGATACGGACGGAGAGTCGCGCTCAAAAGCCAGTTTCGTGCCTGTGCCATCAACTTCCGGCGACTTGCCTGTGCAGCAAACCCGTGACGACTCTCAACATCTTGATTAACCTTCTGACCAAAGTCCTTTTCGATGATCGATATTTCTCCGTACGGTTGTTTCGGGTCCTCGCTAGCTTGTAACGCTTCCAGCTTCTCTACAAGCACTTCTAATGTCCTATCCTTCGAATCGGAAACGAGGAACGCGAGGTCGATAAGATGATGGGGGTATGTGAAGTTGCGAAGGTGCGAAAACATCATATTGAGATGGGGTTCGGCATCTCGTAATGGAACACATAGGAGGATACGTTCTTCTCTTTCCCAGCCACGAGCGGTACCCTGAACGTTCGAGAGATCATAGTAGCGAACGGTGTCCATCAAAACATCACCACTTGAACTGAGAAGGCCTAGGGAGAATAGAGAAGTAAAGGATCCACTCCCCGGTCGAATGAAGAACCAAATCAATACAATAACAACAGCAATTATACCTAATCGCGTCAGTAGACTTCTTCGTCGACGAGCGGCAGGTGTCGAGGCGCGGGGTTGAAATCTGGTAAACAGCACATTAGTAAGAAATGAATTTATATTACACATTGTTCAAACCTAAGCACAATGTCGCGTTGAGGCCGGAATGGGTTCACTAACCTATGAGGAGAGATATCGAAGGTGTTGGTATTGCGTGGATAGCCATTGGAAAATCCAGAGGAATGATGCCGGGGCATCATCTTGGAACTGGTCGAGGATGCATACGAGGGTAACATTCGAAATAAGTGAGCGACCAAGTCAACGAGAACGACGCGCGCAAAGGGTTACTCGGGATTGTAGTGAGCGGTACGACCCTTATTTCGAGACGGGCGCCGTTAGGGGCTAGAGTCTTGGGGCGCGCGAAGCTCTTATAAATTCATGAGTGAGGATATAGCCGGCCAGGTTTGAAAGTTGGACGATCTAGGTCGGAATCGACTAGATAGAGGATCAGGTACTAGGGTTCAATTTAGGTCGTCGTCACCGTCACCGTCAAATACATGTCAATGAATGGAATGCAACGACAAGTACGAGGTACAGAGCGGAATAATCAAAAAGGTGTCGAGTTTGGAAACCAGGAAACCTGCTAATTGCGCTAACGTCTATCGCCCAAATTAGAACACCGATAAGCATATAATGAGAACAGACGAAGCTTTGCCAAGACAGGCTAGTTAGTTATCCGAGCCGTTTCAGATTTAGTCTGTCTTCAGACTGTCAAACTTGTGCACGGTCCACTTCATTAGCTACCAAATCGCCAAAATCACATTTTGTATTTCTTGCTAAGAACATTGTAAGCATGCAAATATCTTGGGTACTAAATAAAACATCAACAAACGACCCCATAAAAAAAGCCTTATGTTATGTACAACAACCTTTTTCCAACCTTAAGAGCTAGCTTTTCAGTCTTGTTCGGCAAATGACTCGGGGTAAGAAAGGGCTTGAAACGATTGGGCTTCTTTTCTCCCAAGGCTGTCCCGCACCCCCTGTGCTCTGCGTTCTGCTACCGTCAATCTGTTCCGACTGAACGTACCAAAAGTCAGGATGATGGCAACAGCTCCAATAATCGTGCATACCCGCATGTCTTCCTTGAACGCACCCGCGTAGGCCAGTATAGTAGCCTCTAGCTGAGCCTGCTGTAGAGACTTGCTGCCACTTCCAAGTAAAGGAGCCTCACTGGGTTGACCAGGACCGTTCTGCTCTTGAAGCTTAACACCTAAGATGGCCGAAGAGGCTGCAATTCCTATACTACCTCCTAAAACTCGAACCTGAGCCATCAAACCCTGTGCAGGGGCTGCCATGTGGTCAAAATCGGCCTTGACAAGGTTTTTTAATGGGCGGGAAACTTACCATGATCTCTGATTGATGAGTGAAAGGTAGCTATCATTGTTGCTGTTGATACAACCATTCCGAAGCCAAGGCCAACAAAAACAAGAAATCCTAACGCTTTCTGTTCGAGCTCAGGTGAGTTTGAAAGGGTTGATAGGAGCCCGCAACCTAGAACTACCAGAGAGGTAGCAACGAACAATGTCTCAAATATTCTGTTTTTCTTCCCGTTAAGTGCCCCTGCGACAAGAGAGCCTACAGCGCTTGATCCCAGCATCGGAAGCAGCATAACGCCAGCGAGAAGGGCACTCTTGTCGTTTACTACTTGCAATCTAATTGGGAATGCATATATAACAAGCATATAAGGAAATCCCAGGAATAAAGTATTAAGCACCGCAGCTGCGTACACACGGTCCCGCAGCAAACGCATGGGTAGCGCTGCGTCTATAGCATCGCCCAACTGTCGATCAATGAAGACGGACCATGCGAACAGTCCCAGCCATGAGATTACTCCGATGATAAGCGGAGCAATGAATACGGGCTTCGACCACTGGTCTCCCATCATGGCAGCATTCTGAAATGGGAAGACGACTAATATAGCGGCTGCAATTAGAAGAATCGAGCCGACATAGTCCAATTCCCTCCAAGATCTTCTCCCCGAGTTAGGTAAATACTGAGGTGCTGGCCATGTGAAGTAGAACAAAAGCATCGACACTGCGCCAATAGGCCCACTAGACGTTCCATCAGTAGGTAAATTTCGATAGCCTTGCAATGACTAACTAGAGAAACGCACTTGATCCAGAATACCCATCGCCACGTTGTATACTCGGTCAATACACCACCAAGGACTGGTCCTAAGACACTTGACATGGTGATCACGATTCCAACCAGACCTCCAATGAACCGTTTTATTCTCTCCGGCGCAACTTCGGGGAGGATTATCATCGTGATGGAATATAACCCTCTTGAGAGTCAGCCGTTTTGTGCTGATGGTATAAGTTGCCACTCACCTGAACCACCAAGTCCTTGCAAAGCTCGACATGCTATCAACTGAACCAGATTTTGGGCGAAGCCGCACGCGATTGAAAACGTAACAAATATGAGATAGGATGCGATGAAAGCATTTCGACGGCCAATTATATCGGAAACCCGAGCTAGCAAAGAAGCACATCCAAGATACACCAAAGAATAGGCCAAGGCGACCCAGTTTATAGATGCCAGATCACCAAACTCAGTCGCTATCGCAAAGATGCTCGTGGCGACGATTGACGTATCGAGGAATGACAGAAGTAAACCCACAAGGAGCCTAGTCCTATGTTAGACGAACGGCTAGGTGCTGGTCAATGTCACAACCTACCCAATACTAAATAACCAAAAGCGTAGCAAAGGTAATTCTGGCCGAGGAATTCCAAGTTCTAAACTTGAATCGCTCGATACGGGAGCAAGAGTTTCGGTGTCTTCGCTTCTGCTAGCGAAATTCGCAAGTAGCTCCATGGCATAATACTCGATAGGTTCTGACATGTTTCTTTCGCAACGTGGGAGCACTTCGCCTTTATCAAAGAGCTCGAATAAAGAAATACTCTACTCGAGGTAATTGGTGTTACTCTCCCTACCTACACTTGGATACACACGTACCACTCTTATAGGCCGTCAACATGAGTACCTAGTTATGTCGGTAGAAGGATGTATGCTACATAGCTGGAGTATGGAAACCCGAGTGCCCAATCGCCTGGAGTGAATGCTAGACAGCAGGAAGATACCAACAGCGCTTCCTACAACCGTCTTTGCTTTTCGCGTTGATCCCATTTGCACGCTTACCGAGACAACGTTTCCATAGAACCCCGGCAATGTCGCTCACGTTTGCTTGCAGCAGTGTACAACTACAGCCCCACCCGATCCCCTTTCGAGATATCCTGGGGTAACTAGTTCCAGTCTGCTGGTAACATCACACCCCTTAGATGTCTCACATGGCCGTATTAATCCTACTAGGATATCGTCTGTTCATAATAGTGGTTTTGACTAGACTCGTCTTCTATAAAGGAGAACAGATTGTTTAAACTTCCGAGTTTAACAACCCTTTAATTTGAATATACCTAGAATATAATATATTCATACCATACTTAGTGTAATGAACTCAGTTTTCAAGCTATTTACATTCCTAAAATAATTCAGGAAATCCTTAAGCAGCCGTTTCTCATCATAGTCCTTTATAAAGCGACCCCCTTGCGTATCTGCCCAAACTTAAACATTAGACATTGTGGTTTAACGGGAACATATCTCCTAAAGGATGATAGATCAATCCGTGCTCAAGGCAATGATGAAAAATCCTTTGGTGGTAACGATAATATTGTTTGAATTGATCAAAAATGATTAAAACAGAACTTCTAGACTTTTCTTTTTTATTATTATTATTTTTTAATGCCACGCATTTATACTATTCTCAGCTCGACACTTGGGCCCATAGGTCAGACCTCCATCCACAGCACTCGCATTGGGCCTCTAAACTACGAGTAGTAGTTGAAGGACTATTTTTAAATAGTTTTGATAGTTGAAGCTTGCGTCTTCCTACCTTAGGTATTTATTTATATATACTGCTACAGCGACTGTCATAATACCATTAGTTAGAGGCGAGTACGCACAGAGAGAGATTCCCCAGGTAAATGAAACCGATTCACAGAGTCTTTGTCACCTTCTGACATCCATCCATCGCTTGGGATTTGCCCCACGCTCACACAACATTTCGGCACCGTTGTATTAGTCACGTACTAGCGACGAGTACAACAGCGCCGAGCGTTTCCAATGGATCCTCAAGTTTATACTTACTTCACCAAGTTCCACGCGTTTCACTCGACGTCCTGATTCTGTCTTCCCGTATGCAGACCTGAATCATCTCAGCAGAACTGAGAGGTTGAGATTGAGAAACACTGTTTAAGCTTGCTCCTCGGTTGTGTCCTATGACGATTATACTCATGTTGACAATTCTATACCCCAAGGCTGCTGGCCTATCAAATATCTCCCTATTAAGTAAGTTGCGAAAATAAGAAAAGGATTTTATGTCGTTTCACAGTTGCTACATCGTCATATCTCGAAACCTAATCGATTGTGTGACTGAAAGCAACATGAGTTCTCGGGACCGGCTGCAAGGTCACCTCTGCAGACCCATACTAGAAGCCAGGCGTAGTCTAATAGTTCTTTATCAAAAGTGGTCTTACTGCCGACAATTCAATGCCCATATCTCAAGCCGATTTTTAGTGCCAGATACAATAGATATTTTTGTCCTAAACTTTCTATAAATATGTAGCAACATGTCACCGCCATGGGTCACGGAACTACCCAGAGTGATATACTACCTACGTGTACGCAGGGCTTTCTATTTTAGGGCACAAGGCTGTGGCGATGCCAACTAGCCGCCAACCTTTTCTAATTCCGACCTATCATCTTCCCTTGAATAAGCTCAACCCTATATAGGTCGTCTTTAAGCCTCTCTTATACCCCTTGCATAAGCCACGATAGAGTGATGTTGGTTTGTGTATGTAGTGGCTCGTTTTGCGGCTACGACTTGGTCATGCAGATCAGCCACTAAGATCTACTAGATGCTTAGCATTAGAGATGATTCGTTAGGAAGACAATATCTGGCTTTGTCGTTGTCTCAGATATTATGCATGTGTCATTCTGTGATGCCTGACAGATCAGTAACGTTAAAAGGCCAGGCAAATCGACGATACACCTCGTACTTTTCTATAATACTTGTCAGCCGCCATATACCATTAGAAATACCAGCAGTAACAAACACTATTATGTGTAACTGCCTACCTGATAATTTAAACTACCCGTTTCCTCTTAAGATGAGCTCTTCTACTTATACGAATAGGGGCTGTAGTAATTGTAGAGGTACATAGTACATATATGTCAATCACATACATTTTACGTGGGGCAAGTAGCCTGAAGTACGTACCCTGAATTTCCACTCCAAGTCTTGGAATGGGCGCTTTTAATTGGTCAGAGTTCCGCTATTCGGCAGCAGCCGTCATTACCTAATGCAACTGCCTGGCAGCCGTGCAGCTGTCATGCGGCTGAACCCCACTAGCCACCCGCTCTGCCACTGTGCCACCTTATGAACATTGAACCTTCCAAGCATTCGCCGAGTCGCGTTTCCCTAACATACCTAAGGTAAAGAACATTTAGAGGACGAAGTTCATAATTCATACTATATAGGAGCTTTAGTTCTATCGTACCCTATCGACAGTAGCATATTCAAGCCTCAAAGTTGCTCTGATATTTTTGGGTTATTGGCCGGTGCAGTCGGTCGAACGATTCTCACATCAGCGGACCGCCCCGGAAATCGGCAAAGATGACTGAGATCGTGACGAGCCAAACACCTCCTATTCTGCACGGGCCGACGGAGAAGGAGAAGAAGTATGACAGACAGCTCAGACTATGGGCTGCTAGTGGTCAAGCCGCTCTTGAATCAGCCAATATCCTCCTCGTCAACTCTGGCGCCGGCACTGTGGGCGTAGAAACACTGAAGAACCTTGTCTTGCCAGGTATATCTTATCATTAACTCACTCTCTCAGACCTAGGCTCATATGAAATTATAGGTATAGGAAAGTTCACGATAGCAGATGATGCTAAAGTGAACGAGGCTGATTTAGGAGTCAACTTCTTTCTTGATGAGAGTTGCTTGGGAAAACTCAGGTCAGAATGCTGTACGAAGCTACTCCAGGAGCTAAACCCAGAGGTACAGGGTGAATGGTTCCCAAAGGAAGAGGTGCGTAAGATGCACCCCGTAGACCAAGATGGTGGTGCTAATATGATACCATAGGGTATACTGGATCTACGCAGCGTTCTTGAGTCTTCACCTACCTTCACTCTTATCATGTACACGAATCCTATTAAAAAGGAACTTCTTTCAATCATGAAGTCCTATGCCAGTCAGCATAAGACTCCGCTGGTGGCGATTCATTCTGCCGGGTTTTATTCTTATTTCCGCATCAGTCTTCCAGGAACCTTTCCAATAGTCGACACTCACCCCGAGGTAGAGAAGACAACAGATCTTCGACTCCTGAATCCCTGGCCTGAGCTCATCGAGTTTTCTCGAGACATGACGAAGGACATTGATGCCCTAGATGATCATGAACATGGACATTTGCCATATGTCGTCATATTACTCCACTACCTCGAGGAATGGAGACAATCACATAACGGCCAGAATCCTACCAGCTACAATGATAAAACGGCATTTAACAAGTTTGTCCTAAGCAAGGCAAGGACCAATAACCCAGAGGGTGGGGAGGAGAACTTCCAAGAAGCCGCTACTGCCATCAATAAGAACATTAAAGCTCCTGAATTAGAACCTGGTGTGCAAGAGATCTTCAATCACCAAGTCGCAAATGAGGTATGATCATATGGTGTGTATAGGAAACACTCCAGACTAATTTCGATAGATTGAGCGCCAGTCGTCTTTCTGGGTTATCGCAAAGGCAATTGAGGCATTCTACAACAAACATGGTTGTCTCCCCCTGCCTGGGGCCTTACCCGATATGAAGGCCCAGTCTACTGTCTATGTCAAACTGCAAAGTATATACAAGGCAAAAGCTCGGCGAGACGCTCAGGAAGTACTAGAAACTGCCAGGGCCTTACCTGGTGGCAAAGACGTTGATCCCGCCGAGGTAGACCTCTTCTGCAAGAACGCTCGATTCGTGAAGCTCATCAATGCAACACCAACGAGTGAAGATCTCGATGCAATCTTTGGTTAGTGGCAACCAATTCCATGACTCGTTGAAAAGTGGGCTGACCTCCTTTCGATAGACGCTGAGACGATGAACGACGAGGCGGCCGAGGCTATGAAGGTCGAGACCGACGGGGCGTTTACTCTCCCCATGTCTAATCTCTTCATTTATCTAGCCCTCGTGGCGACTAGCCACAATATTGCGTCTACCGCCGATGAAATCATGAGCTCCATAAGTAATTTAATACCCAAGGCGGCCGGGAACAAGAGAGCACTGGAAGCTTCTCAGGAGGTAGCACGAGCTGCTGGCGGCGAACTTCACAACATATCCGCCCTAACTGGAGGAATGGTTGCGCAGGAAATCATCAAAATCATCACGAAGCAGTACATCCCAATTGAAAATACCTGCATATTCGACGGCATCAGTAGCCGGTGCCAGGTACTTCGGCTATAGTAGGTGGACCCCGGGAAGGTGACAGCCAGCTAGCAGAAGATATTCCCATAGGCATATCATCCGCAGATCCGGGTTATTCATGGGGAAGTTGGAGAACTTGTGGAGAATCGTGAAAAGCCTGGAAGCTTGGCAAGCCTGACGATACTACATATTCACACCATCTCACCTTCTGGCTGGAGAAGGCGGGGGATGTTATTGTCGGACCGTAGACCCTCTGCGGTAACGCCAAACATGATGTACGACAGCTACTAAATGTAGCCTAATCGTGCCCTCGGTCAACGATGAATAATTTTAGCCTTGCTGACTGTTACTAGAGAAGCCTATCTAGTTGGATGAAGTCACAACCAGTTACGCTAAACCTGGAGTGCATGTTCGTGCGTAATGTCAATCCCCATGAATGGTCGAAGTGACGGTGTGGCTGCCACATGCTTAATATTAGCCCTAAAAATTTGGGATACGTATGTCCACTCCCCAATACAACCGTACAATAGGAAATCCTCTGGATCAGATCTAAGTGGATGTAACTTTCAGGCACGGAAATATTATGAAACACCAGCTATCTTTCTCCCGGATTTCGCACATAATATCCCTATTATCCCCCTTAAGTACGACTCTACCTCTATTAGCAGAGCGTGCTGATCGGTCTTTGGCCGTTACGTGTAGCGCTGTCCTATAACTTAGACGCTCTATGCATGACAAGGGTAAGTTAGGTACCTAGGGAGTTCCTAAGAGATAAAATTATACCTATCTTCTACCCTTCGTAGCTCATAATCAGGGCGTGTAAGTCAAGGCCCTGTTAAGCTAGAAACTGAGCATGAAGGTATCTACCTAATACAAGGGTTTCTAGAGTTCTACATCGTTTCCCAATGATTGGTTTCTAGTTACGGGACTTTTGATAGGCTCATTAGCTATCTTTTTTTGATTGGAGATGGTTATTCTCGGCCAAACCGACTATCAAGCTATGAAGGGATATCGCGCAACATATTAAAAGAGTCAGGTCAGGTGGTGCCCCCCTACTAAAAGTGTACGACAGCGTACGAGTCTCTTCAATATATATATAATGTCGTGTTACTCATCTCTAAAGAGGTCGAGAATCTTCGGGAATAGGCACTAAGCCCCTATGGTATCCCTTGGAAGACGAAAGAGGAGCGATGGGCAGATTGAGGCGCAACGCCTACCCCAGATGTTCAAAGTGTAACTCCGTGAAATATAAATCGACGGCGAAATTTAATTTATAGACCAATGAGGCCGAGCCTTCTTGCTATTCTTATTGGTCTATGGGTATTTCTGCATCGTCAGCGAATTGCTCGGATACCTATCTTAGGTATTTAGGTCGTCGGCCACACCAGCATGGCCTTGTGTGAACGACGCATAAGCTTGATTAGGTCCAACACACATTATCTGCCCTGTACATCAAAACTCATAGGCTCGATTTGGACAGCGAGACACGTGGGTGTGTCCGAATTCTGCCCTCATCAGTTAATATCTGTATATGCTAATCGTGTCCGATATGACCGACCCTTGACCACTCACGAGCGCAGTTTTCGACCCCAACAATAAAACTCATCATGAGCATTGAAACTTCATAGAGGAGGAGTTCACACCAAAGCACGGAGCACCTTGATAGACATCGTGGCTAAGAGCCGAGTTTAACCCCTACGGTCACCATTGACAACCCTGCGACCTGTTGTTCATGCGTATAAGCTTCAAGCATCTTCACTCGACTTCTATAGTATATCTATTATAGCTGATACCCTTGCAAGCGCACGAGGGCTTTCAAGTTAGTAATATGAACATATAAACAGTGATTACTGTCCGAACCCGGGCGAGACCGCGTCGACGACGAAGGCATATTCTGGGATTTTACATCGGCTTAGGCGTTGACTAGTCCTCTTGAACCTATGGTGCATTCCCAAGAAAGATCCAAGTACGGGCAGGTGGAGACAAGAATAGACAAGATTAATATGCCGTAGCCTGTAAGATGTCAGAATCTTGTCATGACATTCTGCGCCAAGAGGTCGAGCAAGGAGAGTATCTCGCTTTCACTCGGTTTTGCCTCACTACTTGCATCACTGGATATCTAAGTCTATCTGAAGATGTCGACTAAGTGCTTAAGCGAGTGGCGTTTCAATATAACCATCAATGTCAGCTGTTGCTTTCAAGTTCACTGCACTCCACACTCCTGCTGTACAACGATGAAAAGAGTTGCAGGTATCCAGCCGACATGAGTGTGGGGTAAAATCGACGAGCTTGGCAGCAGCGCCATGCCAGGAACTGAACCTGAATAGGTCGTAGAAAAAAAGGCTTGCAGGGAAACATTGTCATGGGCGATCCGGAGAGAATCGCGCAGGGACCCGGGACTTGAACAAACTTTTCACAGGGCTTCTAAATCTCCATTGGCGGGACCCTGAGAGACATCTCGAAGATGCCCGGATAACTTGTCATCGATCGCATTGCATCGTACCTCATTTCCACATCTGAGTCGGGCTGGCCCGGATGTGGAGCAAAGATCTCGATAGGGTGATCGTTCGTGAATGGGATGATGTGCTAAACCACCTTTCCAACGCTGATGTATCATGATCGTAGGCCGATTAGGGTTGTAATAACTTAGTAATTTAACAAGTTGACTTGAGGGGATCGTGAACAATGGGTCAACTTCACGATGGGTGCTTTCTTGAGCGGGACTGTGATGTACCTACATGTTCCAAGACGTCGCCAAGACGTGAAGAATCGTAACAGCGTACCGCTCTCCCGAGACTAACTACCTTACGTTAGCAAAATGTGTTGCTCGAGGGGGCAGGGCCAGCCAATCTTATGTTAGCAGTTCAGTTCTCCGCCCCGGCATCGCGGAATTTTCTGCATCGGCTTTTCCGCCCCTGATCTCATCTCTCTTTAAAGCGTTAAGAGACGACGATCTAAATGTGTAAGTTATTGTTAACGTATAGTAAGTATACTTCAATAACAAGAGGTCGCTATGTAGAAAAGCAAGAAAAAAAACATCTCCCGGTTGACAAGTCGCTTACTTATCTTTCCAAGACCTGGGGATACATAGTCGAGGGCGGTTCGTAGTTAGCGATTGTACGTGTAAGTGTAGCTCTATACGTATTATTACTATTCATGGTACGAATTATGGGGATCTTTATGAAGTGCACGCAAATACGTGCCTGGCGTTGAGACACTAAGTCGGCGCTTGCTACGTTCTATATATTAAGTCGAGGTCATGAGTGGTCTGCAGCGGCTTCTCCTTGATTATAGTCCCGGGCCGTGTATGTAGGTAAGTTCCAAGACTTACACCCATCGTTCAGTACGCGAAAACTGAGCGAGTACCAAACCTATACCCATGTCGTTTGCACGGGTCGTTTGCCGGTCAAGCCTTTTACAATGTAGCTAAAAAGGCCGACGACCCCTGCTACGCATCTCCCCTGCCCTAAATGCTTGGAGGGTGTCAAGTACCATAGTATCGATGGTTAGGAGGTACTAGCAGATCTTGCAGGCTTGCTTACAATCTCCCGTTGTAACCCTGTTACGGGTACATTCAAGTTCTGGCCGTTGATCCTGCTCGGAATTCTTTGAGAGAATGGCAGTGATCGCGGGGCCGCCCCTCGACTACGGCTCCCCGTGGCTAAGTAGCAGGGATTCAGGGGTGTGTGTTCATGGGAAGAGTCCTCTCCAGCCAGTGAAAATCGAACCTAGGTAGCCTTCCCCAAATCCAACCCAGTCGCCGCGAAAGGAGCCAGGCTCGGAGATTTCATACGCCAGGAACTCCATGCAAATCAGACAAGACGCCAAAGACACGCCAAAATGTCAACTTTCTAGGTAGCGCTATGAAAAACCTTTCCAAGATCTTATGTGAAGTTTCCCATCATGCATGAAACTATTAACCCAGTCCCAGTCCTTAGAACGGGAGGCTATTCCACGCCCCTAGACGCTGTCTGATGCCCTGCACGTCAGTCACTGCTCACATGGCTTTCGGGTTATATCTCAACTTGCCGAACGGCATCCGTAGCCTGGTCCCGGTATGGACGGTTCGCTGTCCAAGGGCTGAAACACTGGTATTGTTATCTTACTCTATACTCAATTGGTGCAAGTGTCCTTCACCTCGAGTCGCTATCACCGACAAAAAGCATGAAGGCCTTTGATGAGTGTTACATGCTACTCAGTTGGTTAACTCAGATAGATCATGCTATATACTATACTTGACATGGCAAAAGCAAAATATCATACGTCTACCCCTTGTATATCCTAGATCTGGTACAGATACACCTGATTATATGCCAATCAGCTGTTGAAGTGCTGTCGTCCCTTGTGGCAAACGTGTTAATCATTACTCGACAATACGGCATTGATCTCCAGATGCGCGTCTCCCTACCTGTCCAAATCTTGACGTTCTCTGGTACGAAAAGCACGTCCCTTGCCATACCTTTAACCTCTAGTCTGTAAGTCTAGCCTGATCGACCCGTCACATCTTATAGGAGGTATGTATGGAGGTGTGGAGGCATGCCCGATGCGCTATAGCCTCTCGGTTCCTGATCAAACTAGCAACAGAAGGTTGCGTTACTCCACACAATCTATTTACCAACCCTTCATCTCCAGATTCTCCACGCGTCCCCGCCAAAATAGGTTACAAGGCAATATCCTATATAAATCTTCATCATCTCCCGTGTTGCCGGCTCTGGGTCCAAGACGGCTCCCCACATCCCCCGGATTGCTTATAGTGATTTTGAGTCATTATACATCACTTCATTCAAGCTTAGTTTCACTTCATCACTTCATATCATCACTTCATACCGCTCCTCTAACTGCTAGGCTCCAGCAGGAGTACTTGAGCCAAGATGGCACCGAGTATACCAATTCCCACTCAAGGTGGAATGTTTCACACCTGTAAGTCTTTCTCACCTCGTTCTCTCGAATTTGACATCTTATAAGTTTCTAACTTGATACTAGTCCAAGGAGTCACTCCTCGGAAGCAGTCTACAGACTCTACGGAGAGTACTAAAACAAACGGCAACGGCACAGCTAAACGTATTACTACACCACATGCATGCGCTGAATGCAAGCGTAGGAAGATGTACGCCTCGTGTAACATGACAGAATAAACGAATGGGTTTCTAACACCGAGTCTAGTCGATGTGATGGCCAGCAACCATGTGGCCAATGTCTCTCGAGCCGAGCTCCTAAGCGATGTTTCTATGACAAGCACCGCCAAAGAGTGATCCCGTCAAGGAAGACGCTTGAAGCATTATCACAATCCTTAGAGGAATGCCGGTCAATTATCAAACGGCTTTTCCCAAACCATGAAGTCCAGTCACTTTTACCCTTACCTCGCCAGGAGCTGCTCAGTCTCCTTGACCGACCACAAATTGACGCAGCCGTGGGACTTCCGTCACCGCCGTTACATACTTCTCCTATGCCTGGCGATATTGGCTCGCCTTCTCTCTCAGGCTCTGACCAGGGCCTTTCCAGCTTAGAGCAAATGCC